CCCTATTCTTTTAACAAGGCTAATACAAGACAGAAGGATCAAAAAAGGCCCTTTTCATATTATAACATGGAGCAGTATTACTTGAGAGGGAAGGCAATCCAATAAATTCAATATATACATGACAATATGCATTTGATTAATGCAAAGAGAACTAGAGTAATTGCTATGTGTCAGTAACAGTGTTACAAATAGAAATACAATTACAAAAATATAAATTCTCAATGTAACAACAGCGACCAGAGACACTTCTTTTTCCCTGCTCTTTGCAGTACTAGTGAACACGTTCTTGACAGCAGGAGAATCAGGGGAAAGAAAGGGAGTTAATTCTGTTATCAAACCTAAAATTTTGTTTTCAGATTAAACTAAAAATAAGAGTTCACAATATGTTGGTGCTAAACAGTTCAACAATTGCGAAGCTATGACTAAACGGAGGTTTCCAGAGGAAGCAAAGCATGTAAGAAAGCAGAAAAGGGAGACAGGTTCTCTGCAAAGTGATGCACCAGCCACCAGGGAAAGATTTCTCTCCTCAGAACACAAAGCCCTGCGTAGCTCAAGATCGGTACTAAATTAAAGTAAAAGCCATTCCATCCTGAACACTCCTGGCATCCCACTCCACCTTAACGACTTGTCCCTGTCCTATGCAGGTCTATATATTTGGGCATTCAGCACTCTCCAGCTACCACTTGTGCATGAGACTGGAAGATCACTGCATTTCGACAGGAAGCTCTACCCCTTGAAAGACACCAGCTTAACTGTGCAAACTTACCGAAAAGGACTCTCTGGGGCACCCTTAGCCACCACTCTAAGGAATCACCTCTTTATGTACATATTAGCAACCTACTGACACACTGCCATTACTGCAAGTTGCACTGGCGATCATCCTCCCCTTCCTCCCCTAAAGACGAAGCTACTGAATGGAACAGGTACTTGAGCTTTGTTAGCAGCGATTTACAGTTGGAATTTATATCACGAGAACTGCCCACTGGGAGCACTTCAGCACTCAAGAAATGTGATGTGCGATTAGCACTGAATACAGCCCTCTCAACCAACGGGAAATATTTTCAACATTTTGCATTTTATTTCCAGCTTCAACCCAAAGGACTGTCAATAAAAAAATCCCACAGACTTAAAAAATAATATATTATTATTTGTAATAGTCTTAGAAATCTCTTATATCCTATTAGGTTTCCAATTAGAGCTATCACTGCATACAAGCAATATACTGCTAGACCTCCGTACTAAAAGAGTGCAACATCTTTGTAAGACATCAGTAGGCTTTAACACTGATGTACTAAGCTTACCTTCTAAGCTTTTCATAATTCAATTAACAGAGTGAAATAGCTGTACATATCCAATTTTTACATATTAACGTTGATTTCTTATAAAGGAAAGACTGAAAGAGGAAGATGCAAGTCAGCTTCAGAAAGCAATATTGCTCAGATTTAACTTAGGATTAGGTAATATCAAGCAGCTCAAAAAGACCGAGTGCTTAATAGAAAAGTGACAATACTGGACCACAATGTAAGTGCAGTGGCATTAACTTTTGGTGGAGATATAAAAATTGTCAAAGGTTAAAGATTACATTCTTTGTTTAAAATCTTTGCAATTATCTGCTTCAAAAAGAAATTCACTGATGCATATATAGAGGGCTCAGAGGCACAGCTGCCACCTTGCCTGATGTGTGTCAACACTGCTCAAATTAAGTGTCTAGATCTACTAATGCAACATTTTGAAGTTGTCCCACATATGACCATCGGGGAAGACAATTTTAACCAATTAAATAGAAATTGTTTCCACTGCAAGACAAGAGTATGAGAGCAACAGCTTTCTGTATTGAACTCAATAGCCCACAACCTCTTCATTTCCAAAGAAAAATGAGACAAAGATTGGTAATGCAGAGCGAAAAATCACATCAGAAAGAAAACTGAAAAAATCCCAACCCATCATTATCATATCAGGCAGCATGTGTTACACAGCAGTGCAACCAAGATTGCTTCCCTGGAAAAACAGTGATATATTCAGTGAAGATGTGCAGCATCCACTGTAACAACTGTTTCTGATCATTCCCAAGTTGCTGCTGGCTTATCCTCAGGACAGATGTTAAAACAGCAAAGCCCTCAGGAAACAGCCCAGTGCCAAGGCAATTTTTGTTCAAGGACTATCTAATGTTCCAAGTCTAGAAGCAGTGGTCTGATTCCTCCTGGTAAACAGGAGGCAGAGAGAAAGTCTCGGCACAGGTGAGACCAAGCTCAAAGTTCTGCCTGGAGCAAGTCCCAGCCACCCTTGTGTTGCTTTGGAAAAACCACATCTTGCTCTGCCTCCCTTTGCTGGCAGGCGCAATGTTCTTTCTCAACTTAAAACCCAAATAGGTAAATTAGAAACACCCACAGCAGAGGCTGGGGAGCAGAATGATGCCTAGGTAACTTGGCTGCACACTCAGATGCCTTGCAGTACTAAGCAATTGTAAACACAGGACTCTGTCTCAGAGATTAAGTGTTCATGGAGAAGACACACACACTTTCAAGTATTGAAAAGGCTGAAACAACAGACAGTGTGCAACAGCAGCCAGCCTGTGGCTTTTTCCCTATTAAGCCAGCCAGATACAACCTCCACCACAGGCCTGCATTATGTGATACCATCCTCATACTTTGCACACACAAACTCAGCTCCCTCCTCTGCCCAGGCATCCCTGGGCAAATCACTCAGAGTATGCCTATGCCATGGACAGAAAGCAGGATTTTTTGGTGTTCACCACATACAGCTAATGTATGAAAATCCCTGGGAACACACTGCTGGTACTTTCCAGGAGAATGACTCAGAAAGAGCCCACTGTTTATGTCAACTTGCTAGTGGATTTGGAAACTACCTAGTCCTTTCTAGGAGCTGACCAAATGATAACATAAGCTTTTCTTCTCATGAAAATACAGCCCTGTGAATACTTCAGTTCCTCTTCTTTGAGATATGGAAAGCAAGATATAGCAGGTCACGGTAGTGATAAATGAAATTAATCAAAAATTAGTCAATGCTACAGACACTAGTTTAATACTCTATTATACCACAGAGGCATATTCCTTTCAAAAGCAAACTAACTTAGCAGTTTAAAAATGCCAGACAGCTATCCATCAGGGTGATGAGAAGGGCAATTTCATGGCATGCTGAAGTAAATAACAGCTAATGAAAAACTACACTATGTTGCAGTTAAAAACCACAAGTAACAAAACCACGAAGGCATACTCCAACTACTCTGTATCCCTAGATGTTATTTTTGGGGCTATTTTGCCCTGAACAGGAAGAGTTTGATGCAAGTAGCTAAGCTGTTTTGAAGTTGCACACTTGTGGAAAATAAATAAAATTTCCAAAAACACTGCAGACATGACCTTTCCAAGGGACATAGCTCAAATCAGAAGGAAACAACATACTAACGGTACATGGGAATTCCAAGATGGCAGAGAATCTAATGATCTCCAACACAAAGCTGTGCTCTACAAACTGACAGCAACATCAATTTTTTCGTGCCCTTCTGTTTTGTAGTAAGAAACAGTGAACGCCTGAACATGGAATTGCATCTTGATCACGTACACATCATCTTACCAGGCAGCTTCAGGAAATATTTAGTTCACTGTTAAAAGGTGTCTTCCCCCCGTCGCGCCCCCCCCC